GTGGCCTGAAATTCTTTTGTTCTGTACCCAATTTCCTGATAGTGCATAATATTTTCCTTGATTATTACTGCACTACCTCCTTTGGCTACATTATCAGGGTGAGTAGTATGATAAGTTTTGTAACCCCTAAATCTAATATATGAGTCATTCGTAAAATGAGTTTCAGAAATGAGGCATATGTCTATTTTTTCTATATCTAGTATCGCTTGTAGTTATTGCTGATGTTTCAATATCCCATTTGCATTCCATTCTAGTATTCGTAAATTACCCGCCATTACCAAGTTTTTTGGGTATACTCCTTTGGTGCTATATTCTATTCTGGATATACGCTCGTCTAGGTTAGTTAATCTCTCTAATATTTTTTGTAGTGTTTGTTCTATTTTCAGATCTTTTTAACTACTATAGTTTTCTTCGTTACTTTTACCAGCTGCTACCATACTATAAGTTCTTGTTTTGTTTTCTTCTTGTTTTGGATTTTCTACAGGTTTTGGATGCATTTTTTGAGGTTGTCTGGGTAAGATATGTTTCTTGTTATATTTATCTTTTATTTTTTGTATTTTCTTTGCCACGATACATCCTCTATAGTTAGCCGGATGCCCTTCTCCACAGTGGACACATTTAGGTTTTGCGTCCTTGGGTTTCTCACATTTGGCTGTTAGGTGTTTTCCTGTGCAGCGGACACATCTCGGTTCTTTCGAACAGTAACCTTGTGTGTGTCCATATGCCTGACATCTCTTACATTGAGGTACCAATTTTGATTTCCTGAGCGGAAGTATTTGTACTTTTACGTTCATGATATCTGATATCTCATAGATTCTATTGATATTTTCGTCATTTCTGAATACCATCATAAACATATTTAGTGGTTGCTTTGTTTTGTATTTTAATTTTGGTATGACATCTATTATCTTGAATCCTTTATTACTTAAAACGTTCATGATCGAATCCTTACTGGCTGAATGATGTAACTTATTGACCATAACTTTAATGGGTCGGCTTTGCTTATTTTCATACGTATGCCATGGACAATTTACTTCAATCAACTTTTTCGTTAATTTTCTGAAGTCTTCTTCACTATCGACATTAATTTTAGCGCTCTTGTCTCCAAGTACTTTTATCTGGAATTTAGCAGTATGTAGTCTGACTAATTCATGAAATTGGCTAAATTCGGCAATACTCTACACAATTATTGGAGGTGGGATTTGTTTTTTTCTTGTTTTTTCTTTTCTTTGTTGAATATATGACTCTTTTTGTGGTGGGGTCAATGATGTATCCATTTTACGTTTTTTGAAGTTTTTGACGCGTATCCACTCTGTCTCCTTAGCTAATTCCTCATCGTCAGTATGAAACTCCTCACTCTTAGGTTCTTTCTCTTTGGACAAATTTTTCTCTAGATCTGCAAATTTTAATTGCAAGCTTTCATTTAATTTTTGTAAGGTATCTAACTGGAGTTGGAGCTGATTTATCCTAACCGTGGCGTAAATCTTTTCCATTTCCGTTTGTTTCCATGCCGTCTACAGCATCTGTTCATTCTGGGACCTTGCATAATTTTCCTGAAAGAGTGCACTATTTTGTTGTATTAACAGTACCTCGTTAGGTGTTTGCGGACCCGCATTTTGTTGGATCATTTTAACGAGAACGAACTATCCTGGCAGTCACTAGGTGCCCTTCATTATTTCTAACCAAGCGCCCGGACTATAAACAATTCAAAAGTAATTTGGATTATCTTACCAGTTTTTGTCACTTAACTATTTTCGACTTAATTATCAAATGATAATTAGCAAACACGGAAACACACAACCTTTATGATACGTGGTTAAATGAATACTAAGTTATACACTGGAGTAACTCTCTACATATCTGCATTTTTTACCATATCAAATGCTTATTGCCCAATGGGCAGATTGCAGTACTCAATGGAGTTAATAAAAAATATTGTGGTAGGACACATTAACGACGGAATGTAGTTAGTGTCTTTGAAGTAAATAAAGTGTTCTGATTCAAAATAAGTTTTTCCTTGTGCCTGATTTTCAAATAAGGTCCCCCAACATCACAACAATACACGTTTCTTAAATGCTTAGCTGATGTATCCACTATCATAAAAAAAAGAGGCAAAAATTTCAAATACCAGGAGGTCGAATTTCCGTCCCAGCTTGCCTATTTCTATGAATATTTTTGTTTTCTCTGCACTAACGAGGTCATCTTTGTAGCACATTGTTCCTATTTCTATTAATGTTTTTGTTTTCACTATACTAACGAGGTTATCCATATAGCACATTGTTTATTATGAGAATAACCAACAACCCCAAATCCGTTTATTATTTCTAAAAACTAAGAGATTATTGTAAAAATAGGTAAGAGCTTTAAATGGGGGCGAAAAGTTGCCCAACTTGATATTTGGTGTCGGTAGTTTGCAATTTATTAATTGATTATAATTAAAAAGGGGTTAGACGTACTTTGTACTGTTGGCTTCCAGGTTCCATTTTACTACCGCAACTTTTCTAGTCAGATAGTCCTATATCCTATATACATAACTGTTCCTGGAAAAACTATTCTGAATGTCTACAACAAGAGTTTTTAAGGAATCTAAAGTTCCATAACCTTTCTTAAAGTCATATTGTTTGGCAGGTAATGGACTTTGATCTATTAGCCACTAATCTAACCTAACTTTTTGTTGACAAAAATTTTCAGGAGGATTTTTTTGTAGTTTACTAATGCTTTCTTTCTTTTCGCAACATATTGATTACATTCCGACTCCCACCACGGAGGGGGAACACGTTTACATTTAAATGATTTAAATTGACAAATAGATTGTTTAGAAGCTTCAGTAATACAATCGCTAAGGAAATTATATTTTTCTTGGGTGTCTGAGGACGCGTGAAGGTTGTTAGTTAATAAGGTATTAATAAACTGAGAGTATAATGACCAATTGGCTTTTTTAATGTTCCACTTAGTAGGTACTGGGATTAATAATATTCGCATTAGTTTCCAAAATATCGATAACAACCCTTATAACGAAGTGATTTGACCCCAGAGTATCAGTATCTACAGACCACGAATTTTTATCAAAGAGAGAAGGTGAGCAAAATGTGACATCCATCATGGAATCTGTACTTCCTGGTCTCGTTTAGCCAGTTGGTTGTCCATTATTCATTACCACATAATCAAGGTTCTGAATTGTCTCCATAATTTTTTTTATCATTTCATCATTTGTTTTATCATTTTTAGATGAGCCACACAGAGGATTATGTGCGTTTCTATCTCCTCCAATTATACAAGGGTATTTTAGTTGAGAAAATAATTTATTCCAATCTTCGTTGTTAGTTTTAGCTTTCGGACACCTATATACAGAGAGTAAAGTTAAATGGCTTTTGTTATAGTTGATTTTAATACCACAAGCAAAAAATTATTTAATATGTTTTTTTTTTAATTTTTGTTTTCAAAAGGAATACCAGTTTAAATTAAAATAGCAACTCCGGAATAGCCGTCATCCTGATCTTCGCGTATCACATTATAACCTCTATAACTATAAACAACATCCCGTTTAAACCAGGTTTTAAAAGAAATACCAGTTTGAATTAAAATAGCAACTCCTGAATAGCCGTGATCCCGATCTTCGCGTATCACATTATAACCTCTATAACTATATAAACAACATCCCGTTTAAACCAGGTATCACTTTTTAAAGCTATATCAATATTTTCAATTATTAAAAAGTTAAGAAGGCTTTTTTTGTTAGCAATAGCTGATCGAGCATTTCATTGTATTATTTTGAGTTTAGCTTTGAAAGTTATTAGATTAGATATTTTTTCAATCCTTTGGCTAACATATTGATATCAAATTATTTTGCCTGTTCTAAACAATTAATAATTTGAATAAAATCTGAGAAAAGAATTATTAAATAATCTGATAATTTATTTTTATCATTATCTACATTTGAAAAACTTTCCGTGTTTAAGGGTGGTAAAGTTTGAGATAGTACAAATCTGAAAGGGATGTGTGGAGATGTAGGATATTCGGAAGTTAAAGATGATACTTTTCTTTTTTTATTTTTCCTATAATCAGTGCTTGATTTACTACAACTTAGTTGACTAATATTTTTGGTTTTCTGTAAATGAGGTACTATGAGGTCAATAGGTTGGAATAAGCAGGTGTTCAGATGAGTTAGATTTTGGAAATTCTTTAACTGAATTTGACACTATTTCAAATCTGTTATTACAAATAAGACCAGAAAAAGAAAAATCGCTCAAATTTTTGGTCCAAAAATCGCTCCAAATATGATGTTCAGTCATGATATTTTTTAATTTTTTTTTGATGTTCGCAAAAAGGACAGCTTTTAAAGATCAATATATGCTTATCACTTTTACAGTGTATGACAATACATTTTTTTTTCATCACATGTATGTGTATCAGTTTTAATTTATCCACATCGTATGCAGTATTATTGTGAACCTTTACATTGTCTAGAAATGTGTCCAAATTTGAGGCATTTATAACATTGTGTAACTTAACCTAACAATTTTTCAACTTAAAGGTATACATAATTAATTACAACATAATTTGTCAAACAATTGCCTCCTTTTCTATTTTTCTGTGCATTCTTTTAATATCAATAATTTGTAATAGAGGTCATATATTTTTTCAAATATTCAATGCTATATTTGGTATCGACATCACGTATCAGCCCTTTGTTTTCAAAGAGGTGATTGGGAATGTACGCCTTTAAATTATCGTCTTTTAAATGACTATTGCTGACGAATTTATTTGCATCCAAAATAAATTTAAGGAGTACTTTCACGTTTTCTTTCTATACTTTTAATTTTTTAAGTTGATCTTTAATTTTGATGTAAAATTGTCACAAAAACTGGGACTTTAATGACTTTATCGATAAACACGTCTACCCGATATCAATGTATTGCTTTGACTTGCAAGTGAAATATTACTTTAAAGATATTTTTTCCACGATGCAATAAAAGAAGTTTAATTTAATTTATTTATTTCTAGCCAATTACTTCTGGCCACATAAAAGCAATAAGAATACCGGTGAATATTCCAGATAGTAGAGCTGCTGCTGCAATCATTGCTGCTGTTTGGGCATAACGTTCTTCCACCGTACTAAAAAATCAAAAACAAAAGCTAAATAATACACGGTAAAAGATATTATAAATAAAAAATTGGTCAGAATTATTGATAGCGTCATAAAAAATCTCATATTGTTCTGAAGCTATTTTCTTGTGGCATTGTGAATTAATTACTATTAAACTGGGAATAAGCCACAATTAAAGATAAAAAATACGTTTATTGACGTTTCAATTTCCACTTCGGAAATCGTTCTCAAAATACAAACAATAAATTTATTGTCCGAAGTGGAAATTGAAACGTCAATAAACGTATTTTTATCTTTAATTGTGGCTTATTTCCAGTTTAATAGTAATTAATAAAAAATCTCATGTTTTGGTAACTTCATTTAGGCTTTAAGTTAATAACAATAAAAGAAAAAAATATTAAGAAGAAATTTACATAAAAAAATTATTTAAAATCTTTCATAAAAGGTATATAATAAAATGCCCAAACGGGCTATCACAAAGATATTGCAAAACGTTTTCGGATTATTAAATCCATCATGAGTGCAAAAAATCTGTCATTTTTAGACAACTACCGTAAGTTACACTGACTGCTCTGACACAACATCCGTTCTAATATGTCAACAATGTCATTTTGATCAGTTGTTATCAACAGGTCCTCGAAGACACTTCGTCTCAGGACCATTTTACCTATGTAGGGTCATACGTCGCCATGTTACCAATTCCAACGGTAACTTGTATTATAATTTGTCACCACATATAACGTAAAGCAAATGTAAATTTATATCATTTAAAGGGTTTGGACCCACATATTTTGGTAGCTCATAGCATGTATACCTCGTAAGTATTAACCACAACGTTCTTTAACCTTAGTCAACATTTTAAATTCAACGTTATTTTAATTAAAGTGGTTATTTACTTTCAGTTTTGCACTGATGATGGATTTAATAATCCGAAAACGTTTTGCAATATCTTTGTGATAGCCCGTTTGGGCATTTTATTATATACCTTTTATAAAGGATTTTAAATAATTTTTTTGTGATATATGGTATACAGCCAGCTACAGAAACTTAGTTTCCTGTAGCTCGCTAGCCTTAGTTTCCACTAGTTTCCTAGTGAAATTTACATAATATATTTAAAATGTGGACACGTTCAATCTAAAGATATTCAGTATTAATGTCAATACAGATACAAGATGTAAGATTACCACCCGGTGTACTATAATTTAAAAAATGCAATAAATAAACCGGGTACATATCACAAATACAAAATACAAAATAATTGAAATCCTTAAAAATATATTAAACTTGAAAAATTAAAATAAAAAAATAAAAATTACGGTTATGAAGTGCTGTCAAAGAGTTTCATCTCTTACTTTTTACATAATCATAATGTTCTCTATCCTGGAACCCGGTTCTTCTGTATCTAATTCCATCTTGACATTGTAATATTCTAAACATTTAGAGTAGGCACCATATTTTAAAAACTTTAAGTGTGTTAATAGATCTGGCCTTTAACGTCCATGCTTCAATTCCGTACAAAAGAAAAGGTCAAACGTAACACTTTAGCATCTTGTATCTGAGGTTGAAATTAACTTGCTATGAGTTAGAAATTCTTGAAGTTTTAAGGAAGAATTTCTTGCTCGTTCTACTCTGCTCTTTGTTTCGGTCTCATGGTACCAATTATTGTTTAGGAGACCAGCCAAGTATTTAAACTATCTAACTTGCTCGATTTATTTTAAAGCTACTTATAGCTTTATGTTGGATTAATTAGTTTTACCTATATTAATTTTTTTTTTCTTGTGGAGACTGAAGAGCTCGGCGACTTTTTATAGGTTTTCAGCTTCAGTGCAAGGTGTAATCATCCAGCTCTCCTTTTTCGCTACAATTTCTTTTCGAATTTTGCCGTATATATTTTGATTGATTAGTGTGAGGAAGCTCAGTAGATCTGTTACAAAATGTAATGGTAAAAATTACAAAAAAAGTTATTGACAAAAATTGGAGGCAGCTTTAAACTCCACATTTTAAAATTAGTTACAATCTTACAGGGTGTTCCATAAGATTCTGGCAGACTAAACTTATGTTTTTTTTTTAAGAAACACCCTATATTTTATTTTTAATTTGAAATTTACTTCACTTCTAAATCAAAACAATCTAAAGTTTTATTATGTTATACCGGGTATTTAAAAAACTATAACAAATATTACCTGAAAATCCTATCAATTTTAACTCCCTGTATAATTAAAAACGTGTATAAGCACATTTTCAAGATTTTTAATAATTGTTAAAAATTATAAAACATATTTGTTTTCATAATATTCTTTAAATCAAATATCGTACATGATAAATGAAAATTCAAGTACATTATTTTCTTTGTAATTTTAAATAGAACACTCTGTATTTTCTATCACTATCGAAAAGTACTAATGTCGTCATTTAAATTTTATGAAGCACTCTATACTCTATACACTCTATACCTAAAGTTATCAGTTTTCTAGATATTTTCATTTTTCCATCCAAGTATTAATTTGGTAGATATTTTAACGTTTTCCAATAATTATTGTGTTGGCCATGATTGATTTATCGGAAACTGACAGTTTGACATTATTGTTTAATAATTCAGTATTGGGGTACACCGTAAATCAGCAATTATTATTTAGTAATTTACTAATTAATTTAACTTAAATGAGCAATAATGAATTTTACTACTGATGAAATGGTAGATATGATCTGGATATTGTGGGAATGCAATAAAAATTCATTACTATCAGCTAGAATTATTTATCAAGAACGGTTTCTAGATAGGCGGCAACCTAGATAAGATACATTTAAAAAATTGAAAGATCTATTTAACCGCACTAGTTCAGTGAATTATGAAAAACATGAACGAACACAAACTAATGTGACAGCGGAAAACGAAATGAGTGTGTTTATAGCAGTTACAAAAAACTCACACACAACTATAAGGAGTATTTCCAATGAACTTAGTTACTACTCTGTTTAAAAAATTCTATATAAAAACAAGATGCACACTTATCATATTTAAAAGCACCAAGAATTAAATATTGATGATTTTCAAAAACGAATAGTATTTTTTTGATTATGTCCTATTTGGTTATGAAGCTATATTTCACCGAAACGGTTCTGTTACTAGGCATAACTTTTACTACTATTCAACAAGTAATCCATACCACATAGTAACATAATTACTGTTCTTCTTCTTCTTCTTAAGCTTTATTCGCTATCGTGACTTTATTGACAGCAGCTCTAAATAACGATGTAGCTGATTTTCCATACCATTGCCTTAGATTTTTCAGCCATGATGTTCTTCTTTTACCAGGACCACGATTACCTTGGATCTTTCCCTGAATGATCAGATGTAAAAGATCATATTTTTCAGGGTGTCTCATAATATGACCGAAGTATTCCAGCTTGCGTTTCTTTATTATATTGACCAGTTGTGTTGTTTAGTTCAGCCGTCTAAGGACCTCCTCATTTCTAACTCTGTCGACCCAGCTTATTTTTAGTCGTCTGTATACCCACATCTCAAAGGCTGTCAAGCGTTTAAGCATAGCCTCAGTTAGGGTCCACGCTTCTACTCCATACAGCAGGACAGGAAAGATGTAGCAAGATATCATACGAACTCTAAGGTCAATGCTAAGATCATGACTGCAAAGTACGTTTCTCATTTTTACAAAGGCAGCTCGGGCTTGTTCTATTGGGCTTTTAATTTCTGCGGTTGGATCCCAGCTCTCATTGATATTACTGCCGAGATACACGAGTTTCTCTACTCTGTCCAGTGTGGCATCTCCGACTTTTATACCGTCATCATGTATATAATTTTGTTTGCTAACTATCATATATTTAGTTTTCTTAACGTTGAGTTTTAATCCATACAGATCACAAGTCTGTTTTATTTTGTTCATTAGATTTTGAAGGTCTTCTCCGCAATTGGCAAGGACTAAGGTATCGTCGGCATATCTAATATTGTTGACGGTTACTCCATTCACAATAATACCTTCGGTTGTCTCCATTAAGGCTTCCTTAAATATTTCCTCCGAATATAAGTTAAAAAGTAAAGGCGACAATATACAGCCTTGTCTCACTCCTCTTTTTATATTTATTTCATCCGACAGTTCTTTTTCAACCTTTATTCTTGCCACTTGATGCCAGTATAGATTTGTAATTATTCGTAGATCTTTATCGTCCAATCCAGCTGTTTCCAATATTTCTAGCATTTTGTTATGTCGGACTTTGTCAAAAGCTTTTTCAAAATCGATTGCACAAATATACACATTTTGATTTATATCTCTGCATCTCTGTACTAGCACCTGTATACTAAACAAGGCTTCTCTTGTACCCAAGCCACTCCTAAACCCAAATTGAGTATTGCTAATTCTGTCCTCTAACAGCGTATAAATTCTGCTGTGTATTACTCGCAGAAAGATTTTCAAAACGTGACTCATCAGACTTATTGTCCGATAATCACCGCATGTCTTTGGACGATGTTTCTTAGGTATTGTAACAAATGTCGACTTTAACCAATCAGTTGGTAATATCCCAGTGTCATAAATTCTGTTAAAGAGATTACACAGAGCTTTAATTCCATTTTCTCCCAAAAACTTTAGTATTTCAGCACTTACTTCATCGGGGCCACGTGCTTTTCCATTTTTTGCCGTTTGTATTGAACGTCTTACCTCACTTTCTGTTATAGATGGACCTGATATAGCAATCGGTGTATAGTGTTCTACTCTCTCATCTTCAAATAATTCAGAAATGTAGTTTTCCCATTCTTTTAACTTTTCATTGATGTCTAATATTCTGTGTCCGTTTCTGTCTTCTAAACTTTGGGATACTTGTTTCCATTTGTTTCCAGCGACTTCTTTCAATTTCTTGTGCAGATGAAATGTATCGTGTTTCTTTTCATATTGTTCAATTTCATTACATTCTTTACTATGAAATTGTGTTTTCGCGTGTCTTATCTTCTGCCTGATTATTGCGTAGATCCTCTTGTATTCGTTTTTATCTTTATTTCTGACTTCTCTTCTTTGATCCATAAGTCTCAGTATTTCTTCTGTCATCCACCCTTGTTTTTTTCTTGCTTTTAGCGCACTCAATTTTGTTTCTTGAACAGTCTTTAAGATTTCTTTAATTCTCGTCCAGTTTTCCTCAGTACTTTCTTCTGGAAATAAGCCACAATTAAAGGTAAAAAAATACGTTTATTGACGTTTCAATTTCCACCTCGGAAATCGTTCTCAAAATACAAACAGTAAATTAAACAAATTTTGTTTTTTGTTACCTAGTGAAAAATTCTTCTAATAATTTAATTTTATCTGACTCATTTATATTGACAATTCAGACATACATTATGCATTTTAAAGTAGACGACTTTAAAATTATATTGCCAATATTGTTGAGTTGCGCTCCTGGGACGACTTTACTTAAAAGGTAGTTCATTCGATTACATGAAATCAACTTTAACTTGAGAATATCCGTCAGAAAAAAATCATAGCATGTAATTCGTCTTTAAAAAGACAAACACATGACATGATGACAGTAAAATTTTCCTGTTAGTCATTCCATAGTAAATTATGAGGTAAAAACCAGGAAAAAAACCTTATATTGGAGGTTTCAATCCTGGAAACAGGAATCAATTGGTTCGTGTATTGCATTGAATAGGGAGTCTCCACCTTCCTTTATTAATTCTGCGCTAATGTTGTCTAATCCAGGTGACTTGTTGTTTTTCAGTCTGATAACTGCTTCTTGCATTTCAGCTACTAAAGGAGGTTTCTCTGGTGTCTGTTTAATCTAGTTTAATTCCATCATCTAGTGGATCTTCGTTTTTTCCAACTTTTCTTTGAAGAATTCTGTCCAACTTTGTAGTATTTCATTCTGTTGAGCTGCTATATCTCCTTCTCTGTCTCTACACATCATTGTTCTTGGTTTAAATTCTTTTCCGCTTTTGTTAAGTTTTTGTTAGAATTTTCTGTTTTCTGATGGTTTATTTAGTTTTTCCATTTCTATGAGTTTTTTTTATGTTTCTCTTTTCTTTCTTCGATATATTTTCTACTCTTCCCTCCTTAGCATTTCATATCCCTCCTCTGCCTTTCGTCTTCTATGTCATTGTTGTAGTCGTTGATATGCATTATTTTTCCTCTCTGTTATATCACGACACTCTTCATCGAACCACTGTCCTTCAGTTGATTTGGGCTTTTTTTGTAGAACCAGAGTCTCTTTGGCCGCGTCTTGTATAATGTTTTTACACGCTTCCAATTCTCTGTTTATATCCTCTTGCTTGTGTCTATTTTCTAGTCTTACCTTTAATATATTCTTTGTATTTTGCCTTTGCTGTCTGCTCAATTTTTTATTTTATATTTTTCAATTTTGGATCCCTTTTCTTTATTAATGTTTGAGATTCTAGCTCTTATTCTACTGTCCACTAGGTAGTGATCCGAGTCTGCATTTGCCCCTCTTCTGCTGCTTACGTTTATTACATCTGAGTGATGTAATCATATATACTGATTGAAGATTATTTGTTTTGAATACTGGTGATATTTTAAAAAAGATTTTTCAAAAAAAAAAGCTATTCCTTTCTTTTATTTCTTTAGTCTGATTTATTTTAGTTATTTGCTATTTTCCTATTTGTCATAGATATATTTATGAGATTATTAGTAGAAGATCGATAGGCCGTCCAGGGAAAAGATAGAAGGATGATGTCAAAGTAGCTTTGGAAGAACAAAATTGTACAGAATAACGGGCGAATAAGACTCTCCCTGGGATTTTAGGCCAGATAATACGTCCAAAACTTTTTACAAAGAATAACTTTTTTTATCAAATTTAAAATAAGAAAAGTTATTACATTTAAAAAATATGAATTGTGCATATTATGTTATTAAGAGTGTTATCTCTTATATTCAATCCATTTTTTTTTTTGACAAACCGCGTATATGACTGAAAAATTTAATATCTAATGATTGTATTCTAGGTTTTAAGTCATTCATACCTTTTTATAAAGTATAAATAATGCTTTTTATAAACCTAATTTTAAAAAAGTTATTAAGATGGTGCAGATAGGACCATATGGGAGATATTTATTTTTAATTTTATGAAAAAAGTTTTTCGTTATAAAAAGTTTTAAATGATTTAAACCTAGAAGACATTGGATATTAAATTTTTTAGTCATAAACTCGGTTTATCAAAAAATTTTATGTAAGTATACAAACATTTATATTTTTTGACAAACCGCATTTATGATTAAAAAAATTTAATATTTGATGATTCTATTTTAGGTTTCAGAATATACACATTTTTTATAAAAAATAACTTTTTTCCTGAAATTAAAATAAAATATATAATTTACAGGCACCTTTGATAAATTAAACATTAAATTTTTTTTATTATTTGTCTTCCTTACCCAGGAGCATACATCATAGCCAGTGAACTTAAATATCCGCTTGAAATAGCCATTGTTGCTCCTATGAGAAAGTAAATATAGTCGTTTTTGATAAGCACGGGTAAATTTCGAGTGACTCCGTCCACTTGATAGTTGCAGAATAAAAACAGAGGTATGTATATTAGTCTTACTGTAACAGGTATCCACAGTACTTTTGGACCAGGCTGAAACAAAAATATTTGTTGCATATAACAAAAATATAATTATGTTGCATATTATTACAGAGGCATACATGGTATAAATGCACTTTCATGTAACACCCCTCCACCTTCATTAAGTACCTAATGTATAATCCGTTCACAAATTGTTGAAGAAAAAAATGTGCCTCAAAGTCATAAAACGGTCGTAAAATTTGTAACATTATTGGCGTTCCTGAGTTCTTTATTCATTAAAATTATTGCGTTTTACATTTATTTTCCTTTCCAAAATGTTTATCAATATTAATAGTGTTTTAATACTAATATATTTAGCAAAAAACAATTAAAACTTTCTCGGCTAATGTTGGTTATTATATATAACCTTATAAAAATGCAGGACTTATGAAAAAAAAAAAAGAATTTAACCATTTAAAATTTTGTAAATAAGTATACCCTCTCTTTGGATATTTTTTTTATTGAGTTAATGCCTCGACAACTATGATCATTGGCATGGTACAGTCAGGTACCTAGTGTAGTGTGTGTGTGTATGTGTAGAGTAATTGTCTTGATACTTAGCAAAGTCGACGTCATTGTCTTTGCTAAGAGACGCTAATTGTATCCGAACGTCTGCGGTCCCTCCGGTGAGTACTCTTTGGATATATGAATACTAATCTTCGCGTTTAATCACTTTACTAGAAAACCTGGAATTCATATTCGAAGGTACTATTTGTTGCAAGATAATTAGGATGGAATTCCCCAGATTTTTAAAAACCAAACTTCCATAAAGGCAAGCCTTTATGGAAGGTTGGTCTACTGGTATCTCCCCACATTTTGGTAAAGGCAGTAGATTAATAATTTTTCACATTGGCAGTGAAAAAGGATTTGTTATGCATGGTTTGTTGGAATTTCAGTCCAAAAGCACAAAAGCCTATCACGAGGAGATGACAGCTAATGTTGTAGAAGAGTACTTTGAGAAGATGATTGAACACATACCACCTAATGCAATTATAGTATTAGATAATGCACCTTATTATTCACGACTAGTAGGAAGACTTTCAACCACTGCGTGGAAGAAACATAATATTCTTGACTTGTTGCGGAATAAGTATCTGCCTTACGAAGATGGAATGGTAAAAGCACAACTTTTAAAAATAGCCCGGCAACACAAATCTAAGTCCAAGAAATAGGTAGTTGACAAAATGGCGGAAAGGCGAAACATCACAGTCCTTAGACTTCCACCCTACTACGGCGAAAAAAATCCAATTGAACTCATTTGGGCACAAATGAAAAGTTATGTGACTAGAAAAAATACGTCATATAAAATACAAGCTGTATGTGAATTGTTATACGAGTGTTTACAATATATTACAGAACAAAACTGGAAAGATGCAGTAAGACATGTAATAGGAGAAGAACAAAAAATGTGGGATTTGGATAACATAATTGATGCGACCGTACAGACACAACCGCTAGTTATTAACCCTCAAGACGACTCAGATTCAGAAGTTGATCCTATTTATTTTGAATTTGAATAGTTTTCTAATCGTAGTTATATAAGGTAAGTAATAGTAGTTGTAATCGTAAGGTATTAAAGGGGAAAGGCGCAAAATGTCACCTGTCAAAATGTTCAATGTGTTTTAAATGTATCTATTTTTTTTTCAAATCCTAAGAAAACTAAAAAGCATTTTTGACAAATTTAAAGGCAGAATGAAATATTTATTAGAATAAATAAAAAGTTTCTTTTGCATACACTATTTTCAATTAAAAATTATACTATCTTTTCTCTTTTATTTTTACCGCTGTTGCATAACATATTAAAATTTACATTGTATAAGTTTTCAGGGACTTTCTGCCCTCAGTAATAATGTAATCTTTTATTCTGCGTTTAAATTTTTCAAAAATATTTATTAGTTTTCTCCGGATTCGAAAATAATAGATACATTTAAAGCACATTGAAAATTTTGTCAGGCGACATTTGGCGGATTTCTCCTTAATTAAATAAATGTATCTTTTGCAAATGGCGAGAAACTTTTTATTTTTGAATCAAATAAAGAAGTTTTATTAAAACAAAAATACAATTTACATAGGTACAATTTAAAAAATATATTTATTTTTTTCAAATAAATGTTTTAATCATATACTCTACGACACTGGTCGGTCATCTGTAACCAAAATACCTTCGTAATCGGATTATAAGGTTGACTGCTGTATTGTATTCCTTCAGATACAAGGTGGGTTAGTCGAAAACATCTTAAACCGTTAGTTTCGGGTTGGTTTTTACTATTATGTCGTATTACCTATCCTCTTTGTATTTCAGTTCTCCAATTAAGGTTAAACTTGTAGTGAGCTATAAACAAATCGTGAACCGAATATAACCTCGGAAACCTTTTTTGGATGGTACTAAAACGGTTACCAATGGAGACACTGCGGACGACAGCTAGATGGTTGATCGAGAGCGAGTCGTGGGTTCGAAACTAGCTTTTGAATCCTTGAATGACTCCAACTGACGAAATAAGTAAAGATAGGACAGGATAAGATACATTAGAAAAGATACAGAAATAAATAAAAAAAAGATGGATAAAATTACCAAAGATAAGATAAAAAAGGGCACTACTTAACTTTTTTGGTTCAAGGGGAAAATTAAGAAACCTTAGGAATGAAAAGAGATAAGGAAAAATATTTAGGTTTTGAAACCAAATCCAAATAAAGATATCAACAGTTAATTATTATTATCTAAATTTGGTGAACACAAGTCAACACATTTGGTAAGTAACACAATTCGCTAAGGATTTCTGCTTAGTAGTAAAGACATGTCGTGGAATGCAACTTTTAGATTCCCCATGTCCCTTTTAACATCTTTTATTAACGTCTGTTTGCCTTGCAATTTTTAGAAGGCTCAGATTATAAGCAGAAATCTGAATTGTGTTTCGAAACGATTTTACGGATTTTATTATTAGATGTCGCTATCGCGTCCGTATTGAAGCCATTTTAGTGTTGCTTCTTAAAAGACAGATAAAATTGATTTTTCACTTTGAGAGCACCTATGAATAACTGTTCTGATGAGACCTATTAGGTCGGAATACGTATCAACAGATACATATTAGGGATGGGAAAAACCTACCGGTTTTAACCGAAAACCGGTTTTTTACTTCGCAATAACCGGTTTTACCGGTTGTTTTTGTCCCAGTTATAACCGGTTTTTTATTTTTAAAGTAAAAACCGGTTATTAGGTTTTTTAGTTTTATTAGTATTATTTAGGTATTATTTACAGAAGCAAACTGAAAGTGCAAACTCATATCAGTCAGAAACAATTAAGTGTTGTTATAATATTTCGTTGAAAAGGTATTTGTAATCATAATATTTACATAAGAAGTGATCTGGTACATTACATATTTTTCACACTTGACTCTTGACGTTGAAAGTGGGTGAATGGCTTTTTCTGATTACCAAAAATAATAATATTCTGACTATGAATATCGAATTACCGAATACGAATACGAATCTCCAAGGAATTCCCTACATATTCAAAACAATACAGGAAGTAGTAAATGAGTTAATGTACCTATTAAATAAATATACAAACGTGTTAAAAGTTACATTGATAAATTTTTTTATGGTAGTAAAAATATAAGATGAATTGCATTATCCAATTTATTTTTAAGTAAAATATTTATGTTGATATTATTTTTTTTAAATCCCATTTCAAGAGTCTCGTAAATTTTTTATAAGTTGAAATGGTTGGGGAATTTTTTGGGTTTGGGAGGTGAGGAAAATTGGTGGGTATTTTAGAGGATTATATTTTCAAAGGGTAAATTACATTTGCATTATTTAATTGAATACAATTAATTGCATATTATATTCTACTATCATAATATATTCAATGACAATAGAACCTGAATTATTTCAGAAATTCACAAATCTTTGGGATTCACACAAATCAAACATAATTTCGATCCAAGTAATCAAGTAATTACCATGACGAAATTGAAGACCAGTTATACTTTAGGAGTGCCTAAATAAATCTAGTAACAACGCCGTTTTCTTTTCATCTTCAAGTTTCGAATTTTTCATTTTTACCATGTTGAAATCGTTTGTGTGGAATTTGTTTTCCAAGCGTAGCAACATGACGCACAGTGCTCTATTTGTTTGAAAATATTAAAACCAGGAGGAGGTACTACGAATTTGAGGCAGCACCTAAAAAATAAACATCCAAAATATCTGGAAAATAAGCCAAAGGTAAGCTCATTTCTTAGAAAAATTTAAATAAAATAATTATTAATGGAATTTTGTTTTTGCTTAGGATAACGAATTGGCGGACATCGGAACTTTTTTGCATAGAGGCGATCAGGAAGCATCTTCATCTGCTTTTGACGCGAGTGTAAGCTCTGCTTCATTTTACACATATTAAATTTAGTTGTCACAGATGGACTAGAAGATATAAACAATGTAGCATTAAAAAATGTAATAAACGAAATAAAAGCCATAGTCACTTACGCTAGGCATAGCAATCTCTGCATGAAAAGGTAACGGATGGAGCAGAAACGGGAGGGCAAGTCAGAGGATGAAGTAAAGCTTTTGGTACAATCCGTACCAATCAGATGAAATTCTATCTACGGTATGCTTAAAAGATTCACATTAATATCCCCATATATAGCTGCAATACTAGCAGATCCCTCGATTAAAAAAGCACCAAGGATGATTTCTGGTTCAGATATAAAACTAATCACTGAAATTGTAACCATTTTATCACCTTTCGACGAGGCCACAAAGGAGATCTCGGGTTTCCAGTACATTACTGCTAGTCTTGTTATCCTTCTTGTATCTATTATCGAAAGATCTTTAAAAAACCTTAAGCCAAATCTTAATACAGCCCAAAAGTTATGTCAAAAGCTTAAACTAACCTTCAAGAGAGGGGCACTAAGTTTTTACGAAACCCCCTGCCTTGCCATGCTACAATCACGGACCCTAGGTTCAAAAAACTATATCTGAATCCGTCTATAGCGGAGACAGTCGCATCCAATTTAGGCTCGGAAGTAAGAACGTATCTTACCGAAATCGGAAAACTTTCTCCTTTCTGCTCCTTCCAAAATTAAGAAGCCAAAGTGTGTTTAAAATCAAACCCTCTTTGGTCTTCACACGATCTGGAGTTGGTAAACAGTGGTTCTTTTCCAAATGAACTGACTCTATATCTGCAGCAGCTTTTGCTGCCGAGATTAAGTGTTCCGTTTTCATTCTTGAGCAGCACAGAACCTGTATGCCAGGCTTGGCTTTTAGATAATACTAATAAATAATAGCTAAAAAATACATGTCGTTGGTCGGAAGATCGGTGGCATTAGAGAGACTGGGGTCATCATTGAATGATATTGTGTCAGATGAGAGAAGCCGCTTAATCGACCAACATATATATATATATGAACGAGTTTTTCTCAATAGGCTTGATGAAAAATACTGGACAACATAATGTTAAATACATTTCATATAATAGGTAAGGTAACCTATTTGTTACCTTCTAACCTATACTTTTTTACTTAAAATATTACTTCATTCTACTTATACTTTAATCTTACGCTATATAATATTTAATGATAAATCAATAAATATATAATAATAAAATAATAAATAAATATAATAATTAATATAATAAAATGGTTTATTAAAAATTGTGTTTTATTTATATTGATAGTGATTTTCTTTCGATAATACTAATTTTGATCATATTGATATCGAGTTGAATGAAGTATCGCAAACTAAAGTGCATTGTAAATGTAACTTTGTAACATATTGGATTAAAAAAGTCCAAAACAGGTTTTTGGAAAAACCGGTTTTTTTGGCCGTTTATAACCGCTAGGTTAAACCATAAGCAAAAAAAAACCAGTATAACCGAAAACCGGTGTTTTTGTCAAAAACCGCCATCCCTAATACACAGGCGCTGTTTGCGTGAAATCAAATATTTGCTGTCTTTTTCATTTTATTCGGATATACTCTGTGCGAGTACGAGAAACACAAGTCACTAAGAATTTCTGCTTAGTTGTAAAGACATGTCGTGGAATGCAAATTTTAAATTCCCCATTACCCTTTTAACATCTTTTATCAACGTCTGTTTGCCTTGCAATTTTTAGAAGACTCAGATTATAAGCAGAAATCTGAATTGTGTTTCGAAACTATTTTACGGATTTTACTCTAATATTTGTTTATTATTTCAGCATTTATTTAACTTTGTATAGAGACTTGAAGATGCTTTGCATATTGTAGAAAGCGAAACCGGTCGTCTGAATAGTTAAATTAAATTGATTGTGAGTAAGTCTTATTTATTATTTCTTTTACCTATAAGAAAAATATTATTATTTTAAATAATATTCATGTGGTATGTTGCAAAAAAAATGTAAACAAGGATATCATATTCAATGCTCAATTAGATGAACTAAGATCTGAGAATCATATGTTAAAACAAGAAGTGCTTCTACTAAATAGATTAATTAAAGATATGAATGGCAAAACTCGTATCTTAAAAGAAAATAACCGCTTATTAGTTAAAAGAATATAATCTTTACATGTAACCTTAAATAAGCTACCAGTGCAAACAAATAAAGTATAAATAGAACACTGAAATCTGTACTTTCTATACTTTTGTTTCAGACCAGAAGACAGCAGTGTTCTGTTTCTGTTTATTATTTAAAATAAAATTCATTAATTTTAAAAATAATTCTTACACGTAGGCATTAATCTATAACAACTACGCTAAAAAACTTACCCATATAACATATGTAGGCAACCAAGAACCAATCATTGCAAATACATTAAATGTCAAGAAGCACATAACATCTACGTAAACATAGTCAGAAACAAAGAAGTTTTTGTTACTTTTCTGAATACCTAAAAGTTAAAAGACATTACTATAATACTGCTCAATATCTTAGTTTGGTATTATTTTGTTATGGATACTCCGTACATGACCAATCCATATACCTATGTTATTTGTATATCATCATCTATTACTGTTTGCATTACTTATATAATTTCTTTTGTTTTAATGTTTGCGTATATGCAAACGTATACGCAGACGTATAAATGACAGTGAGATATGACAAGTCCAGGAATATATCTACCTAGGCCAAATCTTGAAACTTGACAAAGAAAACCAAAGTGCAGAAATTACTAGAAGAGCAAGACTAGCATGGGTAGGATTTGGAAAACTTAGTTGGATACTTAAGAACCGCAAAATATCCCAATACTTGAGGAGCAAAGTGTTCAACCAATGCATCCTTCCTATCATGACATACGGATGTCAAACCTGGACCCTAACCAAGGCAAACATGAATAAACTAGCCGCAACAGAAAAAACAATGGAAAGTGCAATGCTAGGTATACGACTGTCAGATAAAAAGAATAGCCGGAACAAATTGGAAATATGTTGCTCAGTATAGAGACCGATGGAAGGAGTTAGGAAAGGCTTATGTCCAAACATGGACGATAGATGGCTAAGAAGATGAATACTTACCCCAAAAGGTTAAATTAATACAATTTGTGCCAGATTGCCATGCAAGGACTGGACTAGACTACTATACAGTATATTTAATCCAGGCTTCCTGATTTTCTTTTTTGAGTTGGTTAAACTTTATGTATCTAGTACTATTTATCTATTAGTTCATGTCCTTCAGCTTCTGCATTTACTATTACATGTCCTTAAGCTTTTTAAAGGAGGTACGAATTAGAAAATTGCACCGAAGTAGTGCAGTCTTGCAGCCATGATCGAATTACAGGGATTGCATTTCTTTCGACTTTTTTAGTCTCTCATATTGTACAGTCATATTTTAATGATCTTTTTATGGTTGCAAAAGTGGACGGTAAATTTGTCGGACACAAAAACTATTAGATAAAGTTTAATTGAATAATTTTTAAATTAATTAATTTTCTTATAAAAAATCGTGAGACGTCAAATTTCTTTATTTGTTAACTAATATTTTAAATTTGTTAAACAAGCTTTATGTTATGTTTATTATGAATATAACCTGTGTTTTTATATAAATATAGATCCTTACCTGCTTGAAGAGCTGGAAAAACTGCAAGAGTTACAAAAAACACTAAAAATACGTTTGCCAACTGGGGAAACGCTTGCTTAGTAATTTTCCAATAAGGTGGTCTTTCTGTTTCACCAGTAGAGCTTTTAGCTTGCTGTTCTACTTGCTTTTCATGTTCATCGTAAAATCGATAGTATTTCTAAAACCAAAAAAAAATCTGACTTAATTTATGTGCATATCCACGTATTGGTAAATGAGAGGACGGTATACAAAGCGTTATTTTCATAAAGTCGCGACTCAATTGTTGCTGTATTTTAAACAAAAACACAAATGTGTTTCAGTTAAATACTTTTATCTTTATCAAATAATTATAAAGTATTTTTTAAGTGTGAACATTTCGTTCCTAGATAAAAGTTTTCGGCTTATAAAACCATCTTCAGAGCTATGGTCAAGTTTTTAAAAGTATCACTACTAGGGGAGAATATCATTTGGTAGAAAAATACAAAAATTTTCTTTTAAGCTGTTTCTATGTTAAAATATTTCATTGAAAAAATGCAAAAAAAATATATACTTGACTTCACAAAAAAACACATTGAAACACATAAATATTTGTTTTTGTTGAGTTTAGTGAAGCTTTTTGTGTTAATTGAAATATTTTTACATAGAAACAGCTTAAAGGAAAATGTCTGTATTTTTTACCAAAACAGTCGAAAAATCCACGAAGTTTAACAATTTAAATTTTATGTAATTTATTAACGTGTCTATGTCTATGATCGTTTACTAGTACATACTTAAGAAAAAATAGGCAAATACCAATGTGGAATCCAAAAAGAAAGGTCAACAATTTATCAGATTTTCCTTTTTAGACAAACCTTAGAAAAGACATATAAATATGGAATTAATACCCATCACCTCTTCATAGATTTTAAAAGTGCTTATGACAGTGTAGATAGAAGCGCACTTTATAGTGCCATGGCAGAACTAGATATTCCGTCGCATCTAATAACATTGGTAAAGGCAACTTTTTCGAAAGTTGAGTACAAAGTAAAGGTACAAAACAGAGTGTCAAGGTCTTTTCAAACACATACTGGATTACGCCAGGGAGACAGTCTATCGTATCTATTGTTTAACATCGCGCTAGAAAGAGCCATAGAGAAATTGGGCATAACAACTAGAGGTACGATCATCATTAGAAGTGTAAAGATATTGGCCTACGCAGATGACATTAAAATAGTAACACGGACAAAACAAGACCTGATACAGGCCTAACGTATCCAAAACAAAATACATGAAGGTCACGAACAGCACACAAATAGCGGCACCACAAGATTAGGTGACAGATGCACACACATTCGAGGGATTTTCGGAGTTTATATATCATGAAACACAACTAAATAAAGGCAACCTAGTAAGCGTAGAAATTAAGAGAAGAATATACCTGGTGAACAGAGCTTACTTTGGACTAAAGCAGTTCTTAACATCACACATAATTAGCAGAAAACCCAAGATACTAATATATGAAACTCTTAATAAACCTGTTCTGACATACGCGACAGAGACATGGACTATGGTAAAATCCGACGAAGAACTGTTAGGCCGCTTTGAAAAACGAATACTTAGACACATATATGGAGGAAAGATAGGGGGAATGGAGACTAATTCTTGATCAGGCCAAGACTCACCCATGGTTGTAGAGCCAAAGATGATGATGATGTCTATGACTATGTCTTTCGATATAGTTTAACTGGTATAACAACTTTTCTAATTCATAATCATAATGGATACAATTATAAATAAATCAATGAATGAATGAATTGAGATAAATTAATGATAAGTAAGTAGTGCCATTTTTTTTTGTGTAAACCAGTAAGTTTTAGAAGTTTTGCATACTTTTCAAAGTATACATAATACTTTGAATTTATTTTGTCAATGTCAAATCGTATCTGTCATATCATTGGATCAAATTTAATTTAACCGATGCATAGCTAGGTTCCCGACTTAAATCACAGCCTGTTCTAATCTCGTTTTTTTTTACTGTTGTATCGTGGGCTCCAAAATACCCAGAAATCCGTTTAAAATTTTTATGTAGAATAAAGTAGTTTGTGATAAGACAAGTTAGACAATGGATTTACTTGAAGCAGCATGATATATAACTAGTAAAGTATTGCTTTATAAGTTAGTTATATACCAAAAAGGGTTAAAGTTATAAATACATAACATATATAAAGGGATGAAGTTATATTATAGTGTGTAAAATGTGTTTAAAAAGGGGCAATAAATATACGACCTAAATAACGATTTGTCAAATCTGTATAAAGTCTTACTATGTCATAAAATTTAAATATATGGGAGAATATATAAAAATAAGAAACAATTATATAACCATGCTCACTTTCCTTTTTTTTTTATTGATACTTACATTCAGAGGCAGGGCAAAATACGTGTCGAAGCATAACAAAAGTACAAAAAGAGCCATAATAAAATACCATATTGCAGCCAGTTTTAGATTTGGAGTACTTAGTTTAGATATTAGGCTGACGATAGAGGCAAAGGTTCCACTAATGTTGTTTCCCAGTATGACTGCCGCTGTGTATTTGCCGGGCAATTTTGCTATTAAACCAAATATACTGTTTTGGTAAACTCCATTGGCACCTAAAAGAAAAGAACGCAAGAGAAGAAAACAACATAAAATTTTGATGTTTATAAATTATGTTAAAATAATAAAGTAAAATATAGAGTTTATAAACACTTAAGAAAAAAGTACATATTCGGTGACGACTAATGCAAAGAATATCCACTTGTGCTTTAGGCTGACTACAACTAAAAAAAAAACTATTGTCAGCTATAAAGAACAGAAGGCCAAAGTTCCGACCAACATACTGGCCTACCAATAGGAACAAAATTCCAAACCTGTTAATTTTTTTTATTTACAAAAATATCTTAGCTAACTATCTGGATATCAATGACAGCTGAAACATGAACTCTTATCATTCACCGATAATTTTAACTATGAGTGATACAGTGATTAAAAAAGAGTTTAATACATTATTTACCTATAAAAAACTGACTGGGAAAGCTTTAAAATAAAGTGTGGTCGTATTTGTAACCTAAACACTTTCTCTTGACAGGAATTATTTTTTCATCGAAAACCAATATCTCCGTTTTTCTAAGAAGGCAGGCCGGGTATTTGACAACACGAGCTGATGTCTTTGTTACGAGGAAGGGTTTCTGTTTAACAAATAATAACAAATTTAAAAGACGCTTTTTGAAGCTCCTTACAAATTTTTAGAGATTTAAGCAGTATTAAATACAGTTCCGTAGTAGTATTCATAGAAATTAGACGTGCAATAATTTACAATTAATATTGTGCTTTAAATTGTAAAATTTGTGGCGTTAGCTAACAACAATATCGTTTATTGAACCACCTACCGTATGAGTGTCAATAGCGGGGAGAGACCCCCTGACCCCAAAAAACCCTCCAAACCAGTTATGTCTGGAAATATATTCGATAATTAATTTGATGAATAATGCAAATACAACCCTTCTAAATGAAACACAACAAAAAGTAACAGAACAGGTAAGACAAGCATTTTTATTCAATAGTAATGACCTAGGCCCTTATCATGTATATATCGAGAATAGCTCTACGGAGTTTAAAGGTAAACTAAATCCTTTAAAGATTGGTGAAATTATTTTGTCTAACTTTCCTGAAGCAGACAATATCAATCAATCAATCAATCAATCAATAATGCCTTTTATTTCTCAATATAAAAAAAAATACAATGCAATACTTTTAGTGACATTTGTTCTCCTTGGCACATGCCATCAGGAGGGTTGGCAAACAAATATTCCCTAATTAATATACAAAAAATTAAACAATGGGTTATTCTATCTAACAAGGCCATTAAAATAAATAAAAAATAAATTATGTAAATATTCATATAAATGTTAGTAATAAACTAAATGTATATATCCTACTAAGTAACACTTCGCACTAGACTCAACAATAATAACAATGTATAACAGTGAGGTATAGATTACCATTGAAAATATTGAATATCCCTTTGAGGGAGTGAAAGCTGCAGATACAACAATAATAATAGTAACAATAATAATAACAATATTATTCAAGATAGACCAGATAGATAAAAAGATAATAGATATAAGCAAACAAATTATTAATCCTAATTTTAATATAACACCACGCTAATAGATTTAGTAGTTAAATAGGCTCACTAACTCATACCTATACACCCATGCCTCCCTACAATAACCTGCTAACTCAGCCTTGCCCTGTCTCATCATATTAACTACTTCCACTCTACTAAGTTCATATCTACCCAACCACTTTAACCTAATATGTCTCAACACCGAACATTTTCCCAAAAAATGTATCACATCTTCCCTTTCCTTCGTGTTACACATTGAGCAAACTCTTCTTTCATCATTTCTGCCAGGTCGATCATTCAAATATAGAACCCCACATCTTAATTTAAAGAGCCATCGAATATCCCCAAAATTTTCCATTTCCAGTAGGTAATGCATGTTTACTCCTTCTTCCCGCAATTCTTTGTAGTGTCCACAAAAATTTGATTCGAGTGCCCTGTTCTCAGCCTGACGCTGTATCTCCTCCTTCTTCTTTTCTATCATATTCTCAATCATACTAGGCCAGATATCTCTCCATTCCCATTCACACCTAACCTCAATACCAAATTTTTCTCCCATGCTCATCCAATCTTTCCACCAGCCACACCTTGCTCTCATCATTTCCTTCAAAAGAAATTTTGGCAACCTATCATTCGTATATCCTAGTATTTTTTTAACATAGTTTTTATGTAAGTTCATCGTATATAGGCTGACTCTAGCAATACCTGTCTCCAAATCTAACATAAAGTTAGGACAATACCTTGGACAAGAAAACATTTTTTTTATATAAAATCTTCTGACTATTTCCACCTCATCGTACTCAAAAATACCCCATACCTGAGACCCATAAGTCAAAATCGATCTTACCACTGACTCATACACTGTTACTTTAGCCAAAAAGGGTATTTCGGCCTTAGACACTAAACTACTCCAAGCCGTGTGAATCGCCACTTTTGCCAAACTCTGGCGCTTTTTTAGATGAGCTTTATACGACAACTTGGGTGTTAATATCATTCCTAAATAATTATAGTTATTCACTACCTCTAATACTCGATCATTGAGTTTCCAAGATTCCCTGATTACACCACCTCCTCTTCTGAACACAAGAATTTTAGATTTATCTAAATTTATTTTTAGATTCCACATCCTGCAGTATTTTTCTAGTTCATTAATCATCCGCTGTAGCACCTTCGAATTGATTGCCATTAAAACCAAATCATCTGCATATAATAAAAGTCTTATAATTAAACCATTTATTTCCAAACCGCCTCCCAATGCTTCATGTAGGTCATTTAAGAAAAGCGCAAACAGCAATGGACTTAAAAGACATCCCTGTCTCACTCCTACATTACAGTCAAACCAGTCAGATAGACCTTCCCTTGACCAGACTGCCGATTTTGTATTCGCAAACATACTTTTTAACAAATTCAGCACTTTAGTAGATAATCCTAAATGACTCAACTTGTAAAAAAGTGCCCGCCGATCAACTGTATCAAAAGCAGCACTAAAGTCCACAAAAAATGTATAAACATTTTTTACTCCCCGTGCATGTTGGATTTTTACTATACTTGTAAGATTAAAAATGTTGTCTATAGTTGAATAGCCAGTTCTATATCCTGCCTGGAACTCGTTTAAAATGTTATTATTTTGTACCCACGAGGTAAGTCTAGTTAAAGTCAATGCCGCAATGAGTTTGGTTACTGCATTTAAGAAGCTAATACCTCGGTAACTTTCTGCATTCTCCGTGTTTCCTTTCTTATAAAGAGGAAAAATTATTGCATTATAAAATCCCTGAGGAAAGTCTGGTTTGTCGAAAAAATTATTGGCAAGCCCAAGTACAAGCACTTTTCCGTTTTCTGGAAGAAACTTGTAAAACTCAGCAGCAATTCTATCCACTCCTGGCGCTTTATTTGGTTTTAAAGAATCCAATGCTATTTGAAGTTCTTCCATACTAAACGGCCGGTCTAAATGTTCATTGAAGATAATGTTAATTTTTTTTATTTACAAAAATATCTTAGCTAACTATCTGGATATCAATGACAGCTGAAACATGAACTCTTATCATTCACCGATAATTTTAACTATGAGTGATACAGTGATTAAAAAAGAGTTTAATACATTATTTACCTATAAAAAACTGACTGGGAAAGCTTTAAAATAAAGTGTGGTCGTATTTGTAACCTAAACACTTTCTCTTGACAGGAATTATTTTTTCATCGAAAACCAATATCTCCGTTTTTCTAAGAAGGCAGGCCGGGTATTTGACAACACGAGCTGATGTCTTTGTTACGAGGAAGGGTTTCTGTTTAACAAATAATAACAAATTTAAAAGACGCTTTTTGAAGCTCCTTACAAATTTTTAGAGATTTAAGCAGTATTAAATACAGTTCCGTAGTAGTATTCATAGAAATTAGACGTGCAATAATTTACAATTAATATTGTGCTTTAAATTGTAAAATTTGTGGCGTTAGCTAACAACAATATCGTTTATTGAACCACCTACCGTATGAGTGTCAATAGCGGGGAGAGACCCCCTGACCCCAAAAAACCCTCCAAACCAGTTATGTCTGGAAATATATTCGATAATTAATTTGATGAATAATGCAAATACAACCCTTCTAAATGAAACACAACAAAAAGTAACAGAACAGGTAAGACAAGCATTTTTATTCAATAGTAATGACCTAGGCCCTTATCATGTATATATCGAGAATAGCTCTACGGAGTTTAAAGGTAAACTAAATCCTTTAAAGATTGGTGAAATTATTTTGTCTAACTTTCCTGAAGCAGACAATATAATTTCAAGTATAGACGCCATTGGTCGAAATAGAATTAGAGTCAAATGCAAAGATTATAAAACTGCTAATAGTCTCATTAAAAACAAAACTCTAGAAATATTTCGCTTAAATAATTTAGATTTGTATATTCCAAAATTTATTTTACACAAACAAGGAGTTGTTAGGGATATAGACACAGATTTATCGGAATAGTATATTAAAAATAGAGTTAAACAGTATGATTGTCATTGCATATTTGAAATTGCAAATGTTAAAAGAATTACGCGTAAAGTAGAAAAAATTGTTAATGAGCAAAAAATAATCGAATATGTCCCTACTGAGTCTTGTATTGTGACCTTTAAATCGCAAACTTTATGTCGCAAAATGTTGCAACTTTATGTTTACGATTTACACAGCCATAGAAAAAAAAAAGAAAGAGTAACTATTTCCAATATTAATATCCTAGAGACTGGGCGAACTTGATAGGATTGGTTCAAAATAAGTCTCCTATTATTGTCAACGAAATGGAACAGAACCAGTCTTTAAACTTTAAAAATACTGACAAACTACTAGTAATATAGAAAAGTTAATACCACTGGATAGCAAGTACCATGAAGCAATATAAATATGCTACGTTACAGCTATGACAGTCCAGTGACATTTTTTCACAAATCATCATACGAGGCAAAATTTGCCTTTAAGAGTGTTGATTAAGTTAGAAAATCTGGACACCCATCACAATTGATATTGCGACCACTTTTTACGAATCCGTTGGGAATTCCAGCAAACACACTGCAACACCTATACTTGATGGCTTACATAGACCATAGCAGTCGTCTATAATCTGAACAGTTTATCAAATTCTCTAACTACATCATTAATTGGTGTTGACGCTTTGTGATAGTTATGATGAAGATGAAGTCTGTGTATTATTTTAAGTTGAAAAAAGGGCAAATGTTTTTTTTCAAGTTAGAATTAAAAAATATTGAACATTTTAGCCTTACTATAAAAATGATTTATTTGGTAATAACTTTTTGAAACGATAATTTCGAATAATCTAGAAACATGTCTACAACTCAACCCACAATTTTATGTAAATCTTCCAACATAAATATCTAAAATCCACTGTTTCTGACATGGAACGTCTGACCTATCACAAAATGGAGACTTCACAATTAAAACTTTTACAACCATTATATAAGAATGAGAACATGTACATTCAATAAACAACTAATAAATAAATATGATGGATAATGTTTATTCAATTAATTACTAAATAATAATGCATCTTAAGACATAAGATGCATTGAAAACTTGTACTGGCATCAAACGGCACAGTTAAAAATAGACAATTCTATATCCAAACCTATACATATAAGAAGGGGCGTTCGACAGGGATGTGTGCATTCCCCTCTTTTATTTAACATTTATTCGGAAGCCATATTTCAAGAGTCTTTGGAGGATGCAGAGATGGGAATAAATGTGAATGGAGTATTGATCAACAACATAGGTTATGCTGATGATGGTGTCTTAATTGGTGACAACATAGTCGATCTTCAACAACTTGTCACTATAATCGGAGAATACAGTAAGCGAATGAGATTAGAGATTAATACCAAAATGACCAAATTCATAATAATCTCCAGACTTAGATGCACTTGAAAACTCCACCATAATACTGAATACTAAGTCCATTGAAAGGGTGAGTAAATTTAAATACCTGGGATCGTGGCTTTTTGAAGACTGGGCATCGGACAGGGAAGTAAAATGTCGCATTGAGCAAGCTCCATAAGTTTTCGTAAAATTCAAGAAGGTACTGACTTGTTCAGAGTTTGATCTTCAACTGAGACTAAGGTTTACTAAGTGCTACGTATGGTCAGTGCTGCTATAAGGCATAGAGGGCTGAATACTCAAAACGAGGGATAAAAACAGATTAGAAGCTTTCGAAATGTGGCTTTATCGCCGTATTCTAAAAATACCATGGACAGCGAAAATCATAAATATAGATGCCCTTGAAAGAATAAACCAAGAACGCCAACTTTTCGAAACCATCAAGAAAAGGAAAACGGCGTATCTAGGTCACATCATGCGAAATGAAAAATACCAGTTCCTCCAACTTATAATCGAGGGTAAAATTGAAGGCAAGAGAGGAATGGGATGCAAGAAAATGTCCTGGCTCCGAAATATAAGGCAATGGACAGGGATTAACGACATACAATATCTGATACATATTGCAAGAAATAGAGAATTAATGGAAAATGTGATGGCTAACATCCATTAGTGGATTTGCATCTGAAGAAGAAGAATTAATTACTATTTAAATGGGAATAATTTACAATTAAAGGTTTATTGGTGTTTTAATTTCCACTTCGGAAATCGTTCTCAAAATACAAACATTCAATCATTTTTTCAATTAAATAAACTTTATGTTTCTTTATACTTACTATTCATTATCACGACACATAACATCGTTGACCAAAAGAAGAAATTTGGTGCATTACTAGTATCTAGCATTGCCATAAATATAGTGAAAATAAATACTACAATAACAACCCCTATACTCCAAACAATTCTAAGGGTCAATTTTCCTTTCATTGTCACAAAAATATTCATCCAACTCAATATGACTGCAGGTATTTGTGAGCAAAATGTTAAATATTGCATAAATTTCGATAAAAACGGAAAGTCGTATCCAATATATGATGCTGACAGTTTGTACTGTGTAAAATACTAAAAAAAAATAAAAAGATTTTATTTAGTTATTTCAAAATAATAAAAGAAAAACTCACAACACCAATTTCACTATATGCAGATCCTTTCAATACATATTAGTGGGAATTCTAATTTTTGAAAATTTAAATACTCAAAGCAAAGTTATACGAGGTATTTCACGTAGACCAGGCATTGGACTTATCCCAGAAAATAATTAGATTTGAAATCTAAAACTTTGCATTTCCATATAAATGTAACCAGTCTATACGTCTTAAACATAACTCGCTCTCATTTAAGTTACAATTAGAAGTCACCATTTTCTTATGGTATTTTTATTAGAACACTGTATACTAGTGTACTTTTAGATTATGCCTAAAATTATTAACACATTTTTTATGTTATCCAAAATTTTACAGTAACAGATCTACAATAATTATTCAAGTATTTTATTAAAAACAAATTCACACAATATGTTTGTAAAATAGAGTTAAATTTCACTATATGCCTTATTTATTAATTTCAGAAAACTTACGACAAAGTGGATAATACGAAATTATATTTTTAGAGATGGAGAAATTGAGAATTCCAAAATAGCTTATTAGGATGGTGTTGATTCAGCTGATTATAAAATTACCCTAACTAACACAACATTTAAAATTGCTTGGCAAGATCATACTTGAGAAACTTGAGACAAGTTTTCATATAGTCAAGGTCTAAGACAGGGCGACTCCCTATCCGCCTCATTAGTCAATCTTATTCTGGACATTGTAGTCAGGAACAGTAAAATTAAGAAAGTATAGCCTTTGCCTATGACTAAACACTTATAGCGAAAAGCTTAAAAGAACTAAAGAGGGTAGCGAAGAATATTATGAAAAAAGGATTAAAGTGCGGTTTAAATGTAAATGAGAATATAACCAAAAATGTGATCATGGAAGGAACAGATAAAACTAAGTTATACATGTATAATAATATAGTCAAACAAGTGGCAGGGACTATAAATTTGAAAGGATCGAAAAATTCTAGTGCCGTGTGGTGATAGAGGAAAAAGAAGAAAAGAAAAAATATGAGCTGGAACCAAGAACAGGAGAAAAAAAAACACGAAATTCTTCTTTTTCTTAAGTGCCGTCTCACTATGGACGTTGGCAAGAATCATAATAGCTATTTTTATTTTGTACCTTGCTACATTAAATAAATCAGTCCATTAGCATTGATACCGATCGCGTATATCTTTTAACCAATAATTCTGTCTTCGGCCAAGATTTTCTTTTTCAATATGTCTCTATCTTCTAAAAATATCATATATTGGTCCCTCATCACTTGGCCTAGGTATTCCAGCTATTTTCTTTATAGTGGTAATAAGTTCTGTTCCTTTACTAACCTTCGACAGCCTCGATTCTTTATAAATTTCCTTTTTTTTTAATGGTCAAGTCTCAACTTCATATACTGTTTTTTTGTGTAAATCCTCTAGAGGTCGCTGTTTAAATGATTAGAATAATAGCAAAAAATGCAATATTTTGCTTGAGAATAAATTAATTAAAATATTACGAAAAATACCTGGATTAACTCATTGCTGTTATCTGTACAATGAAACAACACGTACTTTTGAAATATGGTGTATTCATTGTAGCAAGTAGTAGAAGACTAGCATCTGCGCGTCGCGACGCAAGGGACGCATACGTCCTGGTCAAACTAAAGAAGATGCTTACATCGCGATGTCTTGATCGAAAGTGTTATGCAGAGATATGCAGAAAACGCTCTGACCAATCATCTTAGATGGTTTGTAGGTTAGTGGGGCAAGTGCAACCCTATAAATCAACGCTATTGTAATGCGTAAATAATTGTTTACAGAAATTTGATATTAACGTTTTCAGATTACCATGTGTTAGCTAGTTTAATAATGAAAATTTACTAAATCAAAGAAAAATATTATACTTTTCTCTTTTAAAGTAAATAAGTAGTTAAAATATATTATTAACCAAGATCATATTATTCTTCTTCTTAAGGTGCCGTGCATTTCTGCGTAGGCGTCCACCGTACATCGTCTTGTCAGGTGAGATGTTAAATATTCTAGGATTAAATAATTCTGTTTTTAGCAGCGTTGCGAAGCATTTCATAGCTGTGGATTCCTGTCCATTGTCGAATATTGCGCAGCCATGACATTTTTTTACGTCCGAGACCTCTCCTACCCTCTATCTTCCCTTCGAGTATCATTTGCTGAAAAGTGTATCGTTCTCCTCGTATAATGTGCCCCAAGTATGCAGTCTTCTTACTTTTTACATAATCAAAAAGTTCTCTATCCTGTAAGCCCGCTCTTCTGAGTACTTCCTCATTTCTGACCCTGTCCGTCCATGATATTCTGAGCATTCGACGCAGGCACCACATTTCAAATACTTCAAGTTTGTTAATGGAACTGGCCTTTAACGTCCATGCTTCCATTCCGTACAGGAGAACAGGCCACACGTAACACTTAAGCATCTTTTATCGGAGGTTAAAGTCCAATTTGCGATCAGTCAGAAACTTACGAAGCCTCAAAAAAGCATTTCTGGCTTGTTCAACTCTGCTCTTTATTTCATTCTCGGGGTCCCAACCCTCATTCAGCAAACATCCCAAGTATTTGAATTGCCTGACTTGTTAGATTTCTTCTCCAGAGACATATATCTTTGCGTTGGGGTAATCATTTCTACTTATAATCATTGATTTTGTCTTCTTGATATTTATTTTCAAACCTCGAGCTTCACTTGCAAGAGCTAGATCATTTAAAAGGCATTGAAGATCTTCGATGTTATCTGCCACTATGGCTGTATCATCGGCATACCTGATGTTATTAATAAATATGCCGTTAACTTTAATACCCTTATTAGAGTCTTCCACTGCTTCTGCGAAGGCTTTTTCTACGTATAAATTGAACAGCATTGGGGACAGTATACAACCTTGCCTTACTCCTTTTTTAATGGAGAAATCTTCTGTTTCGTTGGAATTTTGAAGACGTACTGTTGCTGTCTGATTCCAATACAGATTGGCGATGATTCTTATATCCTTTGCATCCAATCCCAACTCTTGTAGGTATTTTATCATCAATTCATGTTTTACATTATCGAATGCTTTCTCGTAATCGATGAAACAGATAAAAACATCCTTTCTTTGATCTAAACAATTCTGTATCAATGTTTGCATACTAAAGATCGCTTCTCTCGTGCCAAGTCCATTTTTGAAACCAAACTGACTCCATCCACTGACCTCTTCACATTTCTTAAACAATCTAGTGTGAAGTATTCTCAGGAAAAGTTTTAAAAAGTGACTCATTAGGCTTATTAGTCGGTGGTCCTTGCAGAAGTTCGCACGTGGTGTTTTTGGTAGGGCGATAAATGTAGATCGAAGCCAATCTTTTGGAATCTGGCCCGTATCGTAGATGTCGTTAAAGAGCTTGACAATAATGTCTAGGTTTTCTTCATTAAGTAACTTGATTGTTTCTGCGTACATATCATCTGGTCCTGGGGTTTTGTTACTTTTTAATAGTTTGATAGCGTGTACAATTTCAGCTTTCAAAATACTTAAGCCAGACAAATGGTCTCCCAGTTGTGGTGGTTTTTGTATTCTGTCATCATTGAACAAATTAGCTGTGTACATTTTCCAAGTACATCATATTATAAGACAGTAACAAAAATATTAAATGTAAAATATATAAATAAATGATAAATACTTTCCCAAATACGTAGTAACAATAAACAGTAAATATATAACTTCGAATGGTACGATATATGATTTCCAAATTATAATTTCTGATGGTCAAGAAGAAATTCATTCATTCTTATAAATGCTAATCTGTCAATCCCTATGCGCTTGTTTATTTTGCTGTATGATGATTGGTTTTATTATTCAAACTTCTAAAGTACTGATGCTTTTCTACTTGTTCTATCACGTTATTAATTGTCAATATGCGGTGTATACTTTGTGGTCTTTTTGTAATTAGCATATAGTTTGTTATTTTAGCAGTTATAGTAATTTCCGTCTCGGCACTATTCATAATCAAGCTTTCGATCATATGTTGTAGGTCTTCTATGCTCGTTGCAATACTCTCGTTCTATGACGTTCACAATGTCATCTGCATATCGTAAGTTTTTATTCAATTGTTTGTTTTTGGAATAAATGTTTAGAACTATCTTCAATATATACGTTAAACAGTTAAAAGTGACGATAAAACGCATCCCTGCGTAAGTCTTGTACATATTTTTATTTCTTGTGATTGTTTCCAGCAGTTTAAACTATGGCACTTTTGTTTCAATATAATGTTTGCATTATCTTTTCCATGTGTTTATTAATAAGTAATTATATTAGTTTTTTATCTCTCACTACACGGAAAGCTTTCTCGTTATCAATAAAACACAACTGTAGGTAAACATTTACATCACAACATCGCTGAATCAGTTTGTTGATGGAAAATGATCCTTTTCGAGTAACCACTTCGTTTCGGAATTTGAACTGCGACTAATCTCCTCTATCTGTTCACAGATTTTCTTATGTATTACTTTAAGCAATACTTTAAAATATTACTCACGAGGCTAAGTACTCAATAGTCAGAGCACTCTTTTGCTGCTTGTTCTTTAGGAATGGTATAACCGCTAACTTCAGCCACTCTTGTGGTATTATTGCCGTATCGCACACCGTGTTGAACAAATCTGCCAATACTTTTAAGTTATCCTCTTCCGTCTGTTGTAACATTTCTACAGGTATTGCGTCTACTCTAGCTGCCTTATTATCTCTAGAGTTTTAAATGGCGTATTTAGTTTCATCTATCGTGCTTCATTTCTCTAAAGGATTTAATTTTTTATCTCTTAAATTTCAACCCTTTCATCTTGGAAAAAAGTTCTCCAATGTACTCCTTTCATCTTTTTAATGTCTTGGGTAAATCTAATAGCAGTACTCCTTTTCTTTTCGTATATGTCCTTGTTGGCATTCTTGACCGATTCTGGTCAGTTCTTTTATTTTTTGTGCATATTTCTCATACCATATTTTGTTTCTATTTCTTTTATCTCTGTACATTGTTTCATCAAATACATTTCCTTAGCTATTTTTATTTTTCCCTTGATTATTCGTTGTATCTCTTTATACGTTTTTGCTTCTTTTTCTTTGTGTTTATTACTTTTTTCATCTGTAGTAGTATTTCTTATGCTATCCATTATTTTTTAGCCTCTGACCTATGTTATGTAAAACTTTTTTGATTTGGTTTCAGGAAAATATGTTTTATAGTATTTCACTTTTTATTTAGGTCCATAGTTTGTTTTTTTGTCGTTACATTATTTTTAATTCCTTTTTTATTCCATCGTTTTTCAGCATTCTTATAATAATTTTTGTCTTTTGATAACTTTTTTTAACATTATTTTCATGACAGCAACTAACGAGTTCTGAGTCTGAGTTAACATCTGCTCCAGGATAAGCTTTAACTGAGGTTATAGAGTTTTTTATAAAAATAAATAAATAAATTTTTATAATAAGATAAAATTAGAATCGTCATAATAATATTAAATCTCCGATAGGAGAGGCACTCAAAGAAGAAGAATTTTTATTCTTTTTTTAGAAAGAGTTTTTATATCTGCTCTTTACGAGTATACAATCTGATGTCTAACAATTTAGTTTTCTGTGTGTGAGGAAGAGATCCATGTATAAAGCCTTCTCTTATAAATCTGAAACCAAGTATTTTTAATAATAATATTCTTTTCTTTGCAGAATTCTATGAGCTTTTCTCCGTCCTCGTTTCTAGTTGCTAATCCGAACTATCCTACTATATTTTCAATTACACCTGCTTTAACTTTTATATTTAAGTCTCCTAAAATCCATAAAATATTAATGGCTCCAAAACATTTGTAAATGGAGTGGCTTTTCATCAAATGAATTGTTACATGCCACGCATTATCGAGAACAATATCGGTGAATAATCATGGAGCTTCCATGATTCACTCCTAATTTGCGCACGGTATTCAAAGAAAAAGAAGACAAAAATATACATAACGTCTCTAGACGTTATTAGCCTCAGTGTATTGTATAATTTAAAACAAGACTATTTGAGGTCATCTTTGGTCTTATCAGCTGGGGGAACATAGACTTGAATCATATTAATATTGCATTTCCGTGCTTAAATTTTGAGCATAATAAATTATTCTCTATAAATTTAAACCACAAGTACTAATTACCTTATTGTGTTACTTATGATTCCGTATCGATAATCAGTTTCCCCTTCTTCAGTATAATAAATATTGTGTTATTATTCATATCTCTTTATTTCCTAACCATTGTATATCACTAACACCAAGTTAATCTATATTAAGCCTTTCTTTCTATGTGTTTATGCAGTTTCCAGGTTGGTTACATACTTCTTACATTTCTGGTATCCTATTTTTATCTATGTGGGTTGAGTATTTTTTTTTTGCTTTTGTGGGCAAGGGTTTTGCATGTTAACAACGAAGAAGGCCTTTTATTCTGATGACTTTCTCCAAACGAATTCTGATAATTGTCCTATACTGCCGGATTTTGGTTTCCAATTACCATAATCAGTAACTAGTTCTAGCCATTATAATTTGTACTAGAGATGTCATCAAGGTGCTTTGATGCAGTAGTTTCTCGATGCTTTCTTTGTGTTGATGCCGTTGACCATTGTCTTAATTCTTCTGCCTTTGATTTCTCAGTCTCAGGACAACATAGTGCCACTTACCAGCTCATCCGCCCGAAGCTGTTGGCCGTATTCATTGATAAATGGTTCATTGATAAATTGCTTATGAGGGGCTAACAGTCGGCCGTCAGAGCCTAGTTAGTTATCTAAAATGATCAGATGATCATGATCTAGATCATCACACGAGCACGTGAGGTTGCCGTTTGAGTAAAAGTGGTTATATATTGCTTATCATTCTCACATCACATCCCCAAACAAGAAGTTAGGTAGCCTCTATTCACAAATAAAATCAGAATACGTATCAAGAAAGTGTAAACTAAGAATATAGCAATAGTGATCAGACAGATAGCAACATACGCTTCTGAGACAAAAATAAAATGATAGATTATTATGGATGGAATATTAGAATGATGAAAAAGAAAGATACTAAGAGACATGCTTGGCGGGAAGAAAACTTAAGTTGGGTGAGCGAGAAATACCAACAAATAATTATTGGAGATGTATAAAAATCATAGTATCACCAACTTTGTCAAAGCACAAAATATATGGTGTTCAGGACGTGTAGAAAGAATGCAAAGCGATCGAATGCCTTGGCTTGTGCTGCACACAGATTAAATAGAGATGTTGAGAAAAAATGGAGAACGACTAACAGTGACTGAAAATAAAGAAGTGAAAAGAAAATGCTCGAAACAGAAGAGAATGGAGTAATATAGGATACCGTGTCCATCACAATAAGATATAAAGAAATAACGTTACGAGAACTAATTTGAAATGTAGATTGTGTTACCGATATATGTAAAATTAGGTATATTGTGAAAAATATAATAAACTAAAACCTTTAGGGCCCTTTGTGCATTAAAATATATAAATAATATTCAAAAACTTTGCTTGCATGCTTACTATCTATTATTATCTAAAAAAAATTACAGAGATTTGAACACTGATGAATTATCCATCTACAAATATAATTTCTGAAAAATTTACACAAACAAAGAGCGATCTTTGCGTTTTTCTTTATTGATATTAAAATCTGTTTTATAAATATAGGATGCTTAAAAATGGAGGAGTCATTTTAAAATTATAAATAATAAGAATCTTAAAATATAATTTATATTTTTTTTTACTAAAGAAGGACGTTGTTAATATCTTTTAGTTTTGAAATCGGTGACTAGTTTTAAATAGTTTAAAATATAATTTAAATTCAATCATTTAGAAAATAGAGTTAATGTACGATCTACGTGAAACGCCTTGCATGAGAGCTATGTATATTAATAAATATATATTAATAAATATGTTAACAATAAAAATATCTTTCTATCTATTCTTTCATCTTTATGTATTTTAATTAAAATTGATGATTAAGGAATATCATTTTTAAATAAACGGTTTAGCACTCTTCAGTTCTTTTTTTGTTGTTCAATATGTATTAAAAGTGATGTAAATGAGTTTGCAAGTGAATTTATAATAAATACATATTATGCATACCCAATAGCTGTAATAAACATATTCCAAGGCATCAGTATTCCTATGCCATGTACTAAAAATGTTATATACGTTAGATAATATTTGTCCACAGGCGGATCCATAGTCTAGCCCAAAATGTATGTCCTTTTACGTTACTTTCTACAAATATACAAAATTTATTTAATAAACTAAGGAACTAATTTGATTAACTTACATGATTGTATGTAAGTAGTTGCAGCCAACAATCTTCAAATCTGTTTGTTTTTGCTTTAAATTAAAAAAAAATATTATGACAAACTTTGACAAGTTTGACACTGTCAATAAATTTTGATGTAAACGTAATATAAACTTCAAAGCTATTAAACCTATAGACATATTATTTGTCTACGATTAAACCATAGACCAATAACTCTACCTCATAGGTACATAATTAAGTGAAACCGCAAATTAAGTGAAATTTGCATTGAGGAAGAAAGTCAGAGTTGTTGCAGTTATCGCAGTTAGAAAACTGTGCGCCACTGTTAAAATTCTATTTGATTGTACGGATAGTCCAGTCGTCAGACATTTGATCCCAAAATCGAGAGAGAAACAAGTTGAATTTTGCTAAGAATGTAAATTTTGTAACCCCAAATAAGAGCAATACAGTTTAACACTCCTACCCCCACTCGCACACCCTAAAAAATAGAAAAAATAATTTACCAAGAATCTGTACGCTATAAAAAAAAGTTTTAAATAACAAATGTGACTAGGATAATGTTAAACAGAAATGTTCGCCAAAACTTTTTGTGTAAAATTTACCATTCCCTCAGAAACAATGCTTGAGGTGACCGGCGATTTTAAATGTCAGTTATTAATTTTATTTAATTAATATTTAAATTTAAATTTTAAATGCGCATAAAGTCAATCATTTTTAATAAATTTTGTATCTACTCGACGGTAAAAAGTTGTGTAGAAAGATCTTTTGGTCAGAGTGTCCTTATTGACACATGTGAAAATGAGTTTTAAGGTGAAGAGTGCTTGCAGCAGTCGTATGCAATTTTTGTATTTTAGCGCCAATCAAGCCAGTTTCTATGTTGCTAGATTTTTGCCATTTTTTACGATTCTCGAGAGATCAATAAAATGTATTCTTTTCATTGTGAAATTTTTTTTGTTAGAGCCTAGTCTTTAAAATCTATAACATGAAATTTTAAATGTATGTTTTGACAAAAAATTTTGGTCATTTAAAATATGCCTAAAAAACGCTGAATTTAAACTTTTAGATTACAAACGATAGTATGTCACAGAAACAGCCTCGATAAAGACAATTATTGAATAACGCTGGGCCCATAACGGTTTCTTAATATTGTTCTGAAACTATTTTCTTGTGGCATTTTAAATTAATTGCTATTTAACTGGGAATAAACCACAATTAACTGTTTGTATTTTGAGAACGATTTCCGAAGTGGAAATTGAAACGTCAATAAACGTATTTTAATCTTTAATTGTGGCTTATTCCCAGTTAAATAGCAATTAAAGACAATAATTATAAGTGGAATTTGTAGCAAAAGTTATTTGGTTTCAAAAAACCAATTTGTGTAATAGAAACAATGCAGTTTTAAATATTTTAGATGATTAGTAGTATGAAAGTTTAAATTAAGTTTTTTTTAGCATATTTCATATACCTCACATTTGTTGCCAAAACTCAAAACCAAAATTTTATGCTATAAGTTTTAAAGACGAAGCTCTTATAATGAAAATTGACTAGTCAATGATAGTGATACATTTTATTGATTTCATGAGAATCGCCAAAAATGGCAAAATTCGCGCAACGTTTATTTATTTAGCAACTTTGTAGAAACTGGCTCCTTTTGAAATAAAATGCAAAATATGCATTTTAAAGGTGAAAAACTGCGCTTTTCATCTATAAAAAGTATTTTGAGTTTTGTCGATCGGACACTTTGACTAAAAGATATCGAATTTTTACAGTGGAGTTGATCTAAATTTTATTTAAAATTGATTGCTCGCGCGTGACTGATATTCAAAGTCGCTGGTTAATTCAAGCGTTGTTTCTGAGAAAACGATATATTCTAAACATAAAGTGATAATAAATCATCATCATAAGTGTCTCAACAATTTTTTGTGGATCTTGGGCTTCTTGTCGATTCCTGGCAACTTCCTTCCATATTCTGACCCTTAGAATCTGTAGGTCTTCTTACACATTATCAATCTATCTTCTTCGTGATCGTCCCATGCTTCTTGTGCCCTCTGGTTTTGAAAATGTTAATCTTTTCGTGTATTCGTGGTCTTACATCCTAGAAATGTGTCCAGCTCATCTAATTTTCAACTTTAACGAATTTCACAATATCTGCATCGGTGTATAACTGATATATTTCAAAGTTTTATCTTCGACGCCATAACCCATTTTCATTTACGGCCCCAAAAATCTTTTTAAAAACTTTTCTTTTAAAAATACCAAAAAGCCTTTTATAATTTTGAGATATGTAAGGTCAAAGTTTCAGCGATATAAACCAAAACTTTAAGGTCTTGTATATATTCAGCTAACAAATACTTTTGTTTAAAATTATCGCAGCTGCATTTTTTATTTGAATTATTTTTTTTCTACGGCGTACAGATTCTTGTTAAATCGATATTTCCGTTCTCCTCCCACCTACAACGGGGTGGGGGTATTTTACTGCAAGCTATCTTTTTTGAGGTACCAAAATTGCTTTTTTTGTCTCTGATGACTGGAGTAGAATAATTCGACGTACTTATATTTTATTGAACAAGAAGTTGACAAAGTAGAAAAAATAATAAATTTAATTTTTGGGGTCCGAGACATACCAAGACAAATAAGTGTACACCTACATTGGAACCGTATTTCTCCCGATCCGATATCGGGCGACGTCGGCCGACGTCGGATTGAAAACAAACTCAAGGTATTAAATCATAGTGCCTATACTGCTTCCGTGACGAAGCAGTATAGGCACTCTGATTTAATACCTTGAGTTTGGTTTTAATCTGACGTCGGCCGACGTCGCCAGATATCGGATCGGGAGAAATACGGTTCCAATGTAGGTGTACACTAAACAAACACATCATTAAAAAATAAATAAACCTTCAATCTTAAAGTGAAAATACAATAAAATAAAATTAATAAACAACCAAATAAATCTCTTATAATTATTGTAAATGACAGCAAAAGCTTCAAAAAACATTGACAAGTACGACAATATTTGTTTAATTTCTTTGATGAACTTAGAATATCTTTAAAATTCAAGGCGGTTTGGGGCTGAACTAAATATTCCTGCTAAAATTAAATTAAGTAACTTGGATATCATGCCATTTAAAAAAAAAATATATTCTATGCATCAAAGTAATCGATTAAATTATTATATATAATAAATGATAGGCGGCATATTACTACTATTATTAGAATGAGGACTGTCCAATGCCACTTTTGGGCAGAAGTACATATATATAAAATCAACATTCGCGATAACCCATACTGTAAATATGAGCAAATGAAAACATTAGAACACATATTTTGGAAATGCCCAATAAACAAAATAAAAGATTATGATGTATATCAGGAACTGATCAAAATTAATAATAAAACCCCAATTAACATACCAATGCTTCTAGGCGATATTAACACTAAAATTATCAAAATTATTTTCAGATTATTACAGATCAACCATATAAAATTATAACCTTCATAATAACCTACTTACTATTAACATTAAAACCATTTATAAGAAAACAGAAAATATTAATAAAATGTAGATATTATGTAGATGAAATGTCTATATTCACTAATAATAGGGCATGAGATACAAATAGCATGAGATTTTTGTATATTCTCAGACTCACGACAGTAGTGGCTCAAAAATGAACAAAACAAATGAACTGGCTGATTATTCGGTAGAATATAAGCCAATAAGGAGAAGAAGAAGAAGACTGCTGCAATACACTCGCGTTCCCCCGGTGCGACAGAAACAAACTGACGCAAAACAGTCCCTGAATCTCTATCCAATGAACCGGGTTTTTGACCTTGTGACATTCTCATTGGTCATTTAGGTCACGCGCTTTGCGTCATTTTTCTCTGTAGCACTGGTGAAACGGGCTGGTTTTGCAACCATCGTTGGTCAACATCGTTTTTGCCATCTGCTGTTGTTTGGGTTAAGTGCATACCAAGTTTGTGGTCTTTTCCGAAGCTTTTTATATTTTACTTAAAGTATAGATAATATTAACGAAAAACGCTGTTGTTTTTAAATTTTTAATTATAAATTAATTCAATTTTTATTTACATACATTAAGTATTTAGCTTTAATTTGAAATTTTTGAAAAGTTATTTATTTTAATAATGGATAATCTAAAAAAATAAACTATTTCCTATGGACCTATAAGACTCACATATATTGTACCAAACGCTTTGAAAAAGAAAGTAAACAGTTAAAACACCAATCAAGGTTCTTAGTAGATATGATATTTACTATAAGAGGCTATTTGAAACATACATTAACCCTCTAACAAGCTAAATTGTAAAAATTATCTGTTCATATAAAAGTTGATATGTTTTTTCAAGTAAATATAGGCAATAATAACTCATTTTTAAATTTGCTGCTAAAAATCTTGCCTAGAATAAGAGCTAGGTGAGAAATAGTGAATATCTTCTACAGACGATATTGTCGGGTTGTAAGTAAAAAATAACTTTGGTAGATGTTTATTATAAAACAAGATTTATTAAGAAAAATGAGTATATCGCTGTCCCGTTGGAACATTGACGTAACTGCAAATTTATCGAAAATAAGTTTATGTCGTGATTGGGTCCAAACTTGGTTACGCTATTTGTCATATCACTGTCAAACGTGTTGTTCAGGTTTTAGCCACCAGCGAGCAGATGCGTCATGTTTGAAAAATCCGCCGATCTCGGAGAAACAATGACAGAATGTGTAGTTGTGCTTCGATATGGTGCTACATTGACGCAATTGTATTTTATGTTATTGTTGCTTTAAATTTTTTTCACAAATACGCGAAAACATTGACGTAACTGTATTCTGTCATTTTTCATCTAGATTTCTTCTTATTGTAAGGCACCATTGACGTAATGTAAATTTCCAAATTGGGTATCTGAAGAGAGAGA